CCCTCCCCCCCCCCCCGCTGACACTAAAGGCCTGCACGCAGTACTCGGTGTTTCGATACTTGATGTTGCATTTTTGCCTCGTATTCACACGACAACACAACTCAAGGCTCGGGGAGGGTGCTCGAACTCCGGGTGATCCTTCGAGATGACAAAACAAGGCCGAGAACCAACAACAACACCCGTCTGGCGACAACACCCAGGGCAACCATGGCAGGCGCAGCAAAGGTCCAACAAACAAACAACAAAAAACTCCAGCGTGAACTTCCTCCTGCTGCGTAACCCCGGCTCAAACATCAAAAACACATGCAGTGGTGGGCAGTAGCCTTGGTGTGGTTTCTCTATCAAATAAACATGTTGGATAAAGAATGAAATCGGGGAAGTTGGGGTAGGGGTAGGGAAATAGGGTCTGCGTTTCCCCTCCCTGTTCTATACCCTCCAAATAGTTAATTCCTCGCGAAGGTGCCCCTTGGTGGGCTTCCGGGACTCCGCGATCCCGAATAGCACGGTTCCCGATATATATACATCGCGGTAATAATTCCTTGGCACAACAGCCTATCCTAGGACCTTCCCCCAATAGTTCAGGTATTACCTCGATATACTGCGGTGATCTTTGCCGGTCGCGGTACATAGGGACCACCGCCACTACCGTACACCAACGCGGCGTAGACTTTTGGCGTCAGCCTAAGAACACACCCTCTTCCATCATCTAGTGCTTCCCAGGGAGGGAGCGGACACCCAGCACGCCTGGCTCACCGTGACAAGTCCGGCTCGTCCTCCTCCTCCGACCCCGATCCCCCCGCACTCGCGGTGCCCCCGGATGTCGGCTTGCTCTCCCTTGTCAGAGCCGCCGCGCCGGCTTCCGCCACAGCCTTGCAAAAAAATACAAAGTATGGTCAACAACAACAGTCAAATGAGGATGGCATTTTGATCGGCAAGGTTGACGCATGATGTTTTCACCTGAAAATTGATTTGTAATGCTGCTATTGCAAGGCAAGCAAGGACCACAAGACGTCTGCAGCCACAAAATTTGGTAACCACACAACGTCTGAAAGGATGTTGTCGTCGCAGCACGGTTGGCACCGACGTATATTTTCATTGGTCAGCTGGTTAGCGCGGTCCATGCTAAAACACACGCACACAAACCTGTCGCCTCTCCTTCACGGGGTCCAGATCATGGCCAGTTAGACGTATTTTCTGTTGTATTCAGCTGCAAATAAGACTGACGTATTTTCAATGATGAGCCGACTATTTAGCGCGGTCGGTGCTAACGGAAAAAAACGCGCATGCACCCACGCTGAGACATGCGGTTTTTTGTTCTCACCTGGATAGCGTCGTCCATGCTAACAAAACACAACCCACACAAAAAAAAAACTTATTTTCATTGGTCAGCCGATTCTCGCGGTCGACGCCAACACACAAAACACACACACACACACTGAGGTATTTTCACGTATTTTCATTGGTCAGCTAGCTAGCGCGTTCGACGCGAACAACAAGTACACACACACAACACCGAATTTTCATTGGTCAGCCGATAAGCGCGGTCGACGCCAACAGACACACATTGGCGTCTTTCCATTGGTAGCGCGGTCCATGCCATAAAAATGAAAAAAAAAACACACACACACGCACCTGCGTCTGTTGCTGCAGCGTCTTGGACGATGTCGACGACGCCGCTGCGAGGGAAGCGAGAGAGGCAGGGGTGGCGAGCAGGGCGGCCGGGTGGCTGCTGGCCAGCCTCAGCAGCTCGTGCAGGTGCCGCTTCACGAATCCCAGGCGGTGGGCTTCGTCTGAGGTCCTCGTGTGTAGCCGCATCGACCTCGCCCTGGCAAGAAGCAGAAAAGGAAGAAAGGAAGGAGGGGAGAGCGCCACCGAAGGATGTTCTTGGATGTCAAAAGAGTTGAGAAAAATTATTCTCGGCCACTCCCAGCAATGCGATTTCATGAGATATCCTATGCATACCATCCAGCAACAAGGAACTAATTCATCGACCGTCTACGGAAAGAATATTGTCGGGTAATTGGAACTATTCAGCTGGTACTGCTTTTCCCACGATTATCTTGTTGATCATAACGGCACTCTCCTAAAACAAACGTAACATCGTCATCATCATCCTGCGTTCAGTTACAACGTATTAGCTGGTCCACCCGCCCATCCGTTAGACTCTCTCCCCCCCGCCCCACACACACACAACATCAACACCACCATCCTTTGCACAACGACCACAAAACATCATCTCGCCTTGTCGGCGACACGGGCGACGTCGACGGGAACATGTGAATCCCCGCTGCGGCAGCTGCCGCCGCCGACGTTCCGGTGCCGAAGCCCCGTGGGGAAGAGGGTGCCGCCAGAGAGTTGGGAGAGGTGGCCCCTCTGCCGTGCGCGACCCTTCCCGGAGAAATGGCAGGTCCTCCAGCCCTATAGTACGGGGCGGGGAGGGGGGGGGGGGGGTGTACTCATAGTCGTGCATGCCGTAGTCGTCGTTCGACCATTGACCTCGCATAGTTGCTGCAAGGTTGATTAACGTTGTGAGGTTATTCAAAATGAATGGTTATCAACGAAAATTGGTTTGGGTATGGCATTCGTGGCATTCGAACTAGAACGAATGACAGCAGCTACAACGGCAGATATCATTTTGTCGTCACCAACGCCAGCAGCAACAACGCCAGCAGCAGCAGCAGCAGCAGCAGTAGCAGCAGCAGCAGCAGCAACGACAACACTGACAGCAGCAACAACGACGACGACATCCGCACACAACGATCATCAACGACAGCAGCAGCAGCAGCAACAACAACGACAACATCGACACAACCATCACCAACGGCACACCACCAACACAACCATCACCAACGACAGCAGCAACAACGGCAAGAGCAAGGTACCTTCTGGGGCTGCCCCCTAGTGCGGCCGCTGCCTCCTCCGAGGGCCAAACGCTGTCCGCCTGGTGTGCTCGTTGGGAAGCCAGCCTTCTCCCACACGAGCCACGGACGGAACGACACAGTTGAGGAGGGGGGGCTCGTGAATCAGGGTACAGGATGATGGGAGGGGGGGGGTACTCGGGTGTCTGGTCCTCCGGCTACAACCCAACAGTTCTACATCTGGAAAATCGGAATCCCGGATGCTGGACAGGCTGAAAATGACAAGAATCGGTAAACTGCATGGACACGAGACGGAAAACAAGTACAACAGGAAAAATGATCGTCCATTCCATTCACACAAGACGTGCCGATGCTATGGACCAAAAGCAGGGAGACAGCAGTGACCGGCAATTCGGCCAGAAACAAACACACAAAGCACCGTATACATGCCCGTCCGAACAAACAACAAAAGAGACCCTCTTTAACAACACGCGACGACCGGTGATCGATTGAACAGTCATAAAAAGAAGAACACACACAGTATGCCTTCAGAATCGTTTTCTGTCTTCAGCCGAACGGAGACTGACATATTTTCATTGGTCAGCCGGAGGTTAGCGCGGTCGATGCCAATACCGCCGTAGGTTGCACAAGATATCACACCGCCTGGACGGAATTCCAAAGCTTGGTGACGCGGCAGGGAAAGCAGTGACGGTGCCGAAAATCGCGGAGTTGGAACCGTCCCGTCGAGAGTTTTTCCGAACACGTACCGTTTGCCTCCGGCATCTTCTTGGTCGTGGAGTAATCGAGCTTTGAAAATCGGTCCAGGGGGTGTGGTATGTCACCTACGGCAATTCATTAAGAAACACATGCAGAAGAGCAAAAAAAAAAAAAAATCCACACCTACTCTCCTAGTTGTGTACCTGTGGTTGGTCGAGTCCGTGTGCAGGTGAAGGAACAGGAAGAGCCCCAGCTGTGACACGCTGAGCTGTACCGACTGAACCTTGTCTTCCTTGCCCACCCCGCTGGACATTTTCTCCGTAGACCCCAACCTGAAACGCCAGTCAGCATGAGAGAGCCGAAAACACCGACAAACGCTATGTGGTCATTCATTCACGCGGTGCTTGACATTCGTCGGGGGGCGTCAAGGGACTAATATTCCAGCGGTGTCCGGTTCACAGACGTCAATAGATAACAGTAGTGTCAGTCAGGCCCATCCCCCTCTGAAAAACTCATCACAAAATTCAATTAATTTGCGCACCGAAAAGCTATGTTGAGAAGGCAAACGCAGCAAAAAAACACCGACCAGACACCCTACGCTGTTGTAAAGGAATTCATTCACGTGGTGCATGGCGTTGGTAGGCCGGCGTCAAGAGACTATTACAGCAGTCAGGTCCATCCCTGTCTGTCTGAAAAGTTAATAACAAAAAGTTCAAATAATTGGCGCAACGAAAAGCACTATATACTGAGAAGGCACATGCACACTCATGGCCGATGGTTCGTGCATGCCGGAGTTGATCGAAAGAAGCGAACCTAGTGCACGCGCATGGCTTTCCAATTGAGAAGGGGTGGTTGTTTGCCCCTGGAGAGGGAAACGCCAACTGCGGTTCACAGTGTAATACCGCGCAGCAGCAAGCAGCGCGCGCGTGCACAAAAACATACTCAGGGATGCAAATACACAACACTTCCCCAAAAAGCAGCAGGGGCAGCGTGCGGGGCGCACAAAGCATGCATGGAGAAGCTCCACAGATGTCACACCTGGGGCTATGGCATTGGTACATGCAGAGCATCTCCCAGAAGAGCTTTGCCGACGGTTCCGACCACTGCAGGACTCGCCATCCCTCGGTGATCCACGTGGTGTACCTAATAAGTTGATTAGTTTTTTCAGCATGACGATAAGAAGAGAGGAAAAGAAAACACAGACAACCTAAACTGCAAAATTTACTCCAAAATAATTATGTTCTCGCCATCTTCACCATGATATGCATCCTTTGAGAAACCCTTTTTCACAATCGAACATGGCTGCTCTCTCAGTCTTTCCACTATCATATAATTTTCGGTTTACTCAGCAACCACGGCAATCAACGATTCAGTCACTTCAGACCAAGGTTTAACAAGCAGTTAAGGAATGGCGGTGTTGGCGTACCACAACCAGTCAAAGGAATGATGGTGTTCGAATGCTAAAGGCATTCCAAAACAAAACAAAAAACGAAAAAACACGCCCCTGAGCCTGTTACCCACTGGGGGAGATATCGCTGTATGCTGCTTGGGGAATTGCATAAACACAGGTAATAGTTCTCCGCTAGCGCAATGGATTCAATACCAATTCATCCCAGACCCTAATCTGATGGCAATGTGCGTTCATCCCTATATTCTGGCGCCAGTCAGGTATTTCGGCGTATGTATCTGGCATGTCAGCCGGGGTCGCGGGTCACACAAGAGCTTTTTTCATAGAGATAGATTTATTGTGATACAATAAGAAAAAAAGACAACACCTCGCAAACCATAGAAAATCTGCCGCATGTTTTCCCCACCTGACAGTGTCCGGGTTAACCTCGCGCACCGCCTTCAGCAGCACGAAAAGCGGGGACGGTCCGGCCGCCGTCCCCGGCCCGAGATTCCTCGCCGGCGAGAGTGGAACTCCCGTCGCCCTCAGCGGCAGCACCCCGTCGAAGACCTCGTTCCGCAGCCACAGCCGCGTTGTAGTGGACATTGTTCCGCCGCTTGCCTCCCTTCACTATTATTGGTTAATTGGAATGGTTCCGCCGCTTGCCTTCCTTCACGGCACCTATTGGCTGATGATTGGAATGGTTCCGCCGCCTTCCGTCACCGTACTACTTTTGGCCGATTGGTTGCGTTCGCCTTCCTTCACCGCACTACTATTGGCTGATTAGTTCCGCCGCGTTCCTTCACGGCACCTATTGGCTGATGACTGCAATGGTTCTGCCGCCTTCCTTCACAGCACCTATTGGCTGATTGGAATGGCGATTCTACCGCCTCCAGGTGTGTGTGTGTGTGTAGCAAAACGGCCCCCCGAAAAATCCCTCCTAAATAGATTGCTTGGCTGCCAGAGAGCTGTCACGAAGACGGCTGGCTAGCCCGTTGCGGTCTTCGTCACTGTCCGCCGTACGACCTTAACTTCGACGACAGAACGTGGAGAAGAAGACAAGCGGGGTGTTGGTGGCCCAGGTTGCCTTCTTCCGCGCAAGAGCAGGGATATGGCCTGCGAGGACGGCACGCGGAAGGTGGGGGGGGGGGGGTGTACTCATAGTCGTGCATGCCGTAATCGTTTGACCATTGACCTCCCATCCCTACAAAGCCGGGACGGAGCACGCCGGGTTCTCACCGGACCAGGCTCTAAGGGGGGGGGGGGGGGGGTACTCAGGGGAGGGGGCACTTGGAATGGAGCGACTATGAGTGTGTGAGCGCATCATGAGCGTGACATTAATACTTTGAAGTATTTTCGTTGGTTGTGACCAGGGTTACAAACCCCGTCCCTCACCCTCTACCTGTGAGCGTGGAACACGAGCCAGACATAAAGAGGATAAAACACGAAATGCAACAACACCAGTGAGTGACACCAAGCAAGGACCAGGGGACTTGCTCCCTTCCCTTTTATTCGGGTATCAAGCCATCGACGACCCTGGACGGAACAGGCTTTCGCTGAATAGTTCCGCTGGCATTGAGAGCCCGACAGTTGGACACAGGCCAACTTCCGGGCTTGGCATCCCCGCTGCGGTGAGCCATTCCCAGGGGACCGCCGCCGACCGTAGGTTGCTTAAGACACCACACACCCTGGCCCACCGGTTTTCCAAACCTCGACACACGTGTCGGCGCCTAAGAAAACTTGCCATATTTATTTGTTTTTGTGTAAAAAAAAAAATCCTGGAATCATATCCCGGAACAGCCTTTTCTTTTTCTTCAGCTATTCTGCTACAACTCTCGCTGTAGTGCCGATACCAAATCGTGCACATCCTCCGCGCGCTGCGCACATAAAAAAGACGCGCATACCCCAACTCCTGTCAGGTTTAGTCCACGCTGTGTCTCAGACCAGCGGCGTTTAGGCCAGTTGCGTGCTTCCATGGCTTGGCTTCTGTGATGGCATTTTCGGAGGTAGGCTCATGATCGTCTCCGAGGCGCCTACATTTCACCGCTCTGCTGACTGCTTGGTTTGAGACTTGACCTGGGTCGACTTTCGCAGGCCGACTGCGATGGCCGTGGTTGAGATCCCAAATCGTGCACGCCATGCATTCGTTCTATGGTCTTTAACCTCTAATCTATGGTGGAGCATCGGCCGAATTGGGGAACCGTAGCGTTCAGGGTGCCTTCCTATAGGTGAAAGTTGCTTCCAAGAGCTGAAAAGGTTGCCTGCAGAAGGAGAAATCAGGTTTAACTCAGACGTGATCGTGAGGCATTTCTCTCGTCCAAGGCAAAATCAAAAGGAGGAAAAACAAAGCTCTGCGACGGAGGGTACATGACCTGCTTCAGGTGCCCGTCTACATTGTTGGTGGCACGTCAAGGTCTGTGTGAGGAGCACGAGGTGGTGGATGAACTGGGCTCAGCGATTGCCCAATCTGGGGTGAGAATGAAACAAAAAAAATGGCCCCCGCTGAAACATGAGTTTTTGTCTGTTTTCTTTTTTTCAATTTCTTTTAGGCGGCAAAACACGTGTGCGAGTGAGTATATATACTCCACGACGACAACGATTTGCAGGGGGTACTGTAGTTTGCAAAATATACGTACCACACACACACCCTTGTGGAAGAATTTTCGAAGCTCGAGGTAAGCACTCCACAACGAAGAGATAATATTTGCGAAACGAACAGTTTTCGGCAAGCTCTCGACGAGACAGACGGTTCCAACGCCTCCCGCCATTCTAGGCATCCTCAGCAGTGTAACTGATGTAGAGCAGACCGGGCTTTTGGAGCATCGGTCCAGGGGGTGGGTTGTCGTACACAACCTTCGTACCTCCCGGAACACAGCCTCCCTGGAGGAAGGCCTTGCCCCATTCTGCTTTATTATTTTAGACAATGCTCCCCGTCTTGCGTGAGCATGCAAGTATGCGTATTTTTTTGTTTGCCCCTACTTATGCACCTTTTCGGAGGGTGTGCGCCACTTAGGCCTTTCCCTGTCCGTTACAAAGTATGCTCTTTTGATGTGGAAATCCTGGGGCGGCGAGAAGAGACGCAGCACTCAAAATGCCAACTTTGGGCGGCACGCTGTCCATCCCACTCAAGCAGTACAACGCACACGACGAGATACACAGCGTGGCCAGGATGGAGAGGAAACAAGGCTGTGACAACGTGACAACCTCCTCCCCCGAGGGAAGCAACTAAAACAGAGCCCTGGGGGGGGGGGGGGGGGGCTAGGCAACGGTCTGCAAGCAATGCCGATGCCGATGGTTGCTTAGTCTCCGCAAATTCTCTCCGTGGTTGGTGCGACAGCAGCGCGGATATGTACGTACGTGCACCGACGGTCTTCAGTGGCCTGGGAAAGCTTTGGCGATGTGACTGCTGTATGCGTTACTGTTGCTGGGGTTGAATGTTGCGACCTCGTGTGAGAGGTTTGCGAGAGATATAGGTAGCAGGTCTATTTCCCCTAGTAGCGGGACAAATCGCCGTTCCAAGGCCTGTGGCCAAACACCTCACGAAAAAAACATGTCCTCGCTGAACTTTCTTCGACGACGACGAAGGGGAGCACAGAAAACCTCACACCAGCACATGGAAAGCGGCAACCACCAACTCGAATCTCAACGTACCAGCACAAAACCAAGCCCATTCTTTTGTACACCCCGCCCCATCCACTGCGATACCTCCTCTCGATCGCTGCGGCTGCGGCCGCAAGCGCACACCCGGTGTTCTTCCTACTTTCAGCAGTCAGTGATAATCACACAAACGACTACTTGCCAAAACAAAAAAAAAAGCGCCGTTCACAGCAGGCAGGTACTAACGCAAAACTCCGTCCGAGCAGAACCTTACCAGCTGGAAAGCGCCAACCTCGAACCAGATCCTTCTTTCCACGAGACAGCCAGCAGCACGACTGCCCTTCCCTCCCGTCCTCGCCGACCCTGCAATGCCAGCTCACCTGTTAGCTTTGCAGGCCGGTCCTTAGGTCCTTCCTCACCTTGCTCTAAAAAGGTGTCAAGGCTTCCCGAACCAATGGAAACCCTACGTGAAAAAAAAAAAGATCCGAGCAAAGGATCAAAAAGGATCCGGGAGACCTGCACCAGGCGCGGAACGAGGTTGAGCAGCACGGACGCGGACACGCCGAGCAACACCACCCGTCTTGCTTGCTGAACAAACTCATTCGCCTCTACACACGTGATTGCCCTTGGGGTCTCGTCGTCGCAACAGTCGAGTCAGTCTGCTGCGTGAGATATCGGACGTTGCGGCGTGTGTGTGTATGCTGCTCCGCTCAGGCGGCTGCTACCGCGGGGCTACACCTTGTACCAATTCTGTCGTTGTAGTATGCATACATTGGCGATATTTTCCTCTCGGTAGTATGGTTGGACGTGCATCATATCAAGTACTATGTTGGTTCTGGACCTGGACCAATGTCAACAACCGACTGCACTCACTCCCGCCGTCCTTCGCGGATGTGTCCTCTGCAAACACGCTCGTTCCGAACCCACGCCGCACACCGTTCATGATGGGTGGGCCGTGGTGCACATACATGCGCGTGCGCTTTGGCAGCGAATAGCTCGCGTATGTACGAGCACCGGCGGGCACCTCGTGGCTGATTATCCCGTAGCGCCCGATTTGAGACCCTCTCCGAATGGTACACTGCTGCTGTTCGTAAAAGTGCGAGTCATAGCATATACACACCCCAGCAGGCCGACTTTCATAGCTATAATATGACGACTGCCCCGCAACCAAGAGAGTGCGAGAACTGAACGTACGTGTAAGGGAGAGCTACACAGTTTGAGGTGAAGGCTACGGAAGGAGCTGTATCTGGACGGAGCCACAACAAGCATTGGTACAGCACGAGCGCCAAAGCCCGGGGCTGCATCATATGCATCCCATCGTATACTGGTTTCCCCATCATCCTGTCTCACGTAATAGTCTTGCGTATCGCGTTCATGACAACACCGTCGTCGTCCGTCCACGCACCATCCCGCACCACCACAACGACACCGCCTAAAAACAGAAACATACACATCTTCTCAAGAGCGCCAGCACGCTTGACTTGTGAGAGGTAAGTTGTGCTGCCGATCCGTCACCCAACAAGTTCGCACCACCCAACTTACGGAGGTGGCGTGAGGGAAGCATGTCAGCGTCTCCGTCTTACGCCGAGGGCGCAGGCCCCAACCTGAACACTTGAAAAAAAATACGTCCTCTAAACCACATCCGACACAAACGCACCTTCCCCCGCGTCACCCTCCCCCGGTCCGTACCGCTGGGGTGGGCGGGCTTGACTCAAAAAATGAAAACAGCAGCCTCCCCGCCCGACAGGCGAGGAGGAGGGAAAAGCGACGGAGCCAAATGAAGCTAGAATTTACCTGGGCGTCGTGCGCCCGGTGCAATGCCCCCTCCCCCGGCAACGGCCACGCGCGCCGTTGTTCTAACGGCATATGTACCGGATGCATATTCCGCGTTTGAAACAGGCCGCCATGCTTGTTAGCAGTCAGGCAGCCACGAACGTTCCTACGGGTGGTAGAAGTATATATGGTTCAACTTTCCTATGTCTATAATGTCTGCAACGGGCTATGTGCGACGCGTCAATGGGGTCGACTATCGTTGGTGTCTATTGCAGGTTGCACCCAATCCAACGCTTGGGGCACCTCTGCCCATAACTGCTGTTGGGTGCTATTGTAACGCTCGAGGAGGCCATTTCGATACGGGCTATTGCCGCAAGCGTTGAATGGATCGACAACTACAGTCAATTCAAACGCCTCTATAGCACCGATTAACCATCTTTACTCATAACGGTTGAACGCCGTCTCAGGCGACGCTTCCGATACGGGCTAAAATGCGTCAAACCAATCGGCTTTGGTCTAAACGCCTAGATTATCGACTACCGTCTAAACGTCTAGATTCCATCAAATACACACGCTTTCAACACGTCCATGCTTAGACGGTTGAGTGCCATTCTAACGCTCCAGAAGGGCCGCAACACCCGTGGCGAAAGCCTTCTTTGCTCCGGGGGAGACTGCCTTCTTCCCGAGGTAGACGTCAACCATCGCGCTCGAAAGCGGCCCGCTGGAAAAGAAACAGGGGGGGGGGGGGGGGAGTACTCATGTTTCGCATGCCTTGGTTGTTACACCATAGCCCACTCGTCCCCGGGAGGACGGAGGACCGATCACGCATGGCCAATCGCTCCATATCTTTGTGCCAAAGGTGGCCCAAGAATGTGTCCCCTATCCTATCGATACGAAGGGGTATGTGTGTGCACTCATGTAGACGCATGCCGTTGTCGGTAGACAATAGACCTCGCGTCCCTACAATGCCGGGACCAAAGAGATAAACCAGTTTTTCGCCGGCCAAGGACAAGGTTCACAAGCGTGAACCAGAGGCTCGTCATCATCCTTCCGTTTGATGTGCCAAGCCAGATACTCCGATGGGTTGATTGAGTATCCCGGCGAGCCACACGTGTCACGTTCGTTACGCACAACAAAAAGTAGCTACATCCGCTTCGTGCTCGTACAAAGCAGGCGCACCACCACAGCGAAAACGCCGACTCGTGTGTGATACACGTCAAAGTACAAACTGCTCATGTGCGTCAGGTGGAAATCCTTTCGGGTATCCACTCTAGGACCGAAGCCCACAACCTCAAAGGGGGGGGATGTACTCCGATGGGTTGATTGAGTATCCCGGCGAGCCACACGTGTCACGTTCGTTACGCACAACAAAAAGTAGCTACATCCGCTTCGTGCTCGTACAAAGCAGGCGCACCACCACAGCGAAAACGCCGACTCGTGTGTGATACACGTCAAAGTACAAACTGCTCATGTGCGTCAGGTGGAAATCCTTTCGGGTATCCACTCTAGGACCGAAGCCCACAACCTCAAAGGGGGGGGGGGGGGGGGGGACCCCTAATCCTGGATGCCGTAATCCTTTGACCATTGACCTCGCATCCCTACAAAGCCGGGACGGAGCACGCCGGGTTCTCACTGGACCAGGCTCTCACATCACCAAGCGCGAAGCGCCGTGAGGTATTTGGCGAGTCGCATGAAGGGTGAGCTGCATCCTGCTAAGGGCGTTCGGCATCTTGTGCTTACTTCCTTGCGTACGGATGACAGCTACGTATGACTTAATTTATTTTCTGGTGCTTTCACTTCCAGAGACAGTTGTAAGCACGGTGTAACTGCCTCGAGGAAGCTTGACCATTTTAACACAACGTGGTGCGATCATCCCCCGTTGCGCGGAGTGAGGTTTCTCGACCCCGCACAACATGATCTACTCGACCACCATTATGGTTACCGCCAAAAAAAAAAAAAACGAGGTAAAAAAAAAAAAAACGGTAACCTGGTTGCCGAGTTCACGAAGTGAATTGGCTTCTTTTACAACGTCGTTGCCAAGCGACGAAAACCCAATCCCGATGGCAAACACCGAGTGGGGGGAGTCAAAGGGGGGGGGGGGGGCAAAGAACAGCACTCCGCGTGATGGGCGGCAAGACCATGTGCTACCTGCTTCATACACACTCCAAAAAGGTCCTCTACAACAGACCCACCAGCGAGTGGCTGTAGGGCCCCCCTTCGAAGGTGACGCCACAAACACGGTACCATTTTCTGTTGTAAGAACGACGACAACCATGTTGTAAAATAGGGGTGTGGTATGTGCGGGATACATGGGCACCGCAATCGCGACATGAATCTACGACATCTCCCACACCTACCTCTTGATCGTGCCAGCGTCCTTCCCGTTGACGCTCACGCACAGCGCCCCCGGCTTGCAAACGAAGCCGAACTGCATGCCCTTCTTCGCCGCTCCCTCCTTTCCCACGGCCTTCAGCAAAATGTCCTGAAACGTGTAGGGGGGAGGGGCGGGCACTCATGTAAACGCATGCAGTCGTTAGACCATTGACCTCGCATCCCTACAATGCAGGGACGGAGCTGAGACGGTGTGTTTAGAAGAGTAGTAGTGGGTGGTCTCCTCAGACCTCGGCCAGTTTCGACCAACCCTATGGAGGGTGTTTTACTGCAAAAAGTGCCGCGAAAAAGGGTCGAAAATTCAAGGCGACAACCATGCGAACGCACAATCGGAGAGGGACCAATTCGCGACTTTTTTCGCGCACTCAAAAGATTAAGATTTACATACATACAAAGTGGTCTGGCAGCATTCGCCGCCCCGCTCAATAGACCTCGACCTCGCCAACTACATGCATACATGCGGAGTGCGGAGATGAAATATGATTGCTCTGCCACATGACATTGACTGGTGTTGTCCCAAACGTACTTGAGCCACACAACTGAAATGAGCGGCGCCGGCTAGAAAGGGTTGAGCAACAAACCGACCAAATCTTTGGAGCTACCGCTGTATACTGCTATGCTGGCGTCATCAGCAGCCAGAAGCGGCAAGAGGCGAGAGGCACCGCGGAGAGCGCAGAGAGAGTCAGAAGAAGTGCCGCCTATCACGTGAAAAAAGGAAGGACTTATGTGTTGGCGTATACCGCTGTAATAGTACGTAATCTTAGTGTCCGCTCGAGATGGAGATGATGAGCGGGCTCGCCGAGAGCGCTATGAACCATTATTAGCCGTGCCAGATCGACTGAGGCGTCCGCTGACCGGTTCGTCCGGTTTCCACGAACAAGAGAGACAGAACCACCAGTGAAGCATTTGGTATTAGGTAGCATGTGAGAACCGAGGCGGAAGGATTAACGGAAAATATCAGAAAGCTCCAAAGATCCCGGGTGATGAGATGCGATGGAAATAAATTAAGAAAACACAAGACAGGCCAGCTGGTGTTGGGCAGGGGGGCTGCCGTGGTTGTCCAGCCAAACTTATGGGGAAACCAGCCAATATCGGAGGGTCTCTTTTGATGACGTGGTGACGTCGTGAGGACATGCATACATACGCTTACGTAGTGAACGAATAGCAGGCAAGGCGCGCTCTACCAAGAGCACGCCTGACCCACGCCAGCTTGACATTGAATATTGGTGTCATGGTGCGTCGCGGTCGCCGCTCAGTCAGGCAGGCAGATGATGGAAAATAACCGTTGTCCTTCATTTTGTGTCAAAAACAAGAGAGAGGAGATGAGAGAGAGAGACACACACATATCCTACATGTACACACACGCAGCCTCAACGGCAGCAACAACAACAACCTGCAGCCTCCCGACGTCTCGACTCGAAAGGACTACCCGTACTCCCCCACAGATAACGGGACAGCCCATAAACTACCCGTGGAACTGTTTACTGCTGTTCGTTCGTCCGTGCTTGCTCGCGACGGCACCAGAGAGAGAGCGAGAGGGTAGGGGGGGAAATAAGTGTGCAGCAGCAGCAGCAGCAGCAGCAGCAGTCGCAGCAGCAAGCAGTAGCAGCAGCAGCAGCATGCAGCGGTATATATGGAGGCGCAGCACAACAAAAATCGTCAGGGCAGTGCTCGAAAGCTTTGGGGGCTGGCGGTGATGCTTGCTGCGAGAGAGGAGGGAAGCAAGGCGGATCAGAGACGAGAGACACAGGAGGGGGAGAGGGGGAGAGGGAGAGAGCAGTCTGATCGTCTCGGAAAAAATATGTATATACTTGGGGCTCTGGAGCCCCAAACATGATTTGTTCACGATTCATGTATTTTGGCCCAAAAGTGTCCGCCGTTTTAAAACTCGATTCATCCCCTTTTCGGGATCTTCCACTGGATGTATGCATGTTTTTTAGTTTTAAATAACTCTATTAATAATACAATCGGAACTGAGAGAAGCCCCGCCTCCAGAGGGTTGAAGTTGAACGTACATACTACATGTGGAGAGTCCGACGCGTGAAAGACAGAGAGGGAAGAAGCCCTGTGCAAAGCGTGTGAGTTGAGTTACACGATGAGGAGAGGAAAGGAAGGGTGGAAACGTCCTCCATCGAGAAAAAAGCGGAAAAGAGGTTAAACGGATAATAATGGAGTGGGAGAAGCGGGAAAACAAAAATAGAGGCCTGTCAGCGGCCGACAGAGACAGGAATACAGGAGTAGCGGTTATGTACGGTTTAAGAGAGGGTCCGGACGTCGGGATAAGCCAATTTCCCGCTCTAAAAATCCGGCTTTCTCTAATACCGTCTTTGCTACGGTATAAGAGAATATTATCTTAATCCATATGTCGCTTTTAAGATAATATTCTCTTGTATCGTGGCAAAAAATCGAAAGGCCGTCAATGGTGGACGCCCCTCGTCCCAATAATATGCTGTAAGAGGTTAAGGAGAGCGTGCATCATTCATGTCACGTAACGCTGCAGGCGTCAGCACCTTTGGCTAGCTCCAAACACCGCTCATTCTGTTGGTTGGCGACCATTTAACCCCAAGCACGTGGTTTCGCACTTGGTACCTGGGTTGAGAAAATAAATCATGGTGTCGTGCGATACTATTTACTGTACATTTTATGCACGTGGATGAACTCGGTAGTTTCGTTGAGTTGTACATACTTGTGCTTCTCGCTCGCACCTCTTCCAGAACGACAACACGAGCCTACGGATTCACCAGCACCCAAGAAAAAATTCACTCACTCACCCGCTGAACCACTCCTACCCCGCCCATCCCCTGCGCACACCACTGCAACCAACCCCAATCCCATCCATTTGAAGCCCCTGGCGTGTTGTCGGGGACAGCTGCGCATCGACTGCCCGCTGCGCAAGGCATGGTGTCTGTGGCTGTGTGTGTGTGTTGTGTGATGTCCACGTGGTTTTCCAGATGTTCGATTTAAGAGGAAGTCTCAGAAATAAAGAGAAATTCTCTCATGAATCCGGTTTAAGAGAAAATCTCTCTGAAACCCATTCGGTCGGGACAAGCCGATTTCGCTCTCTTAAATTCGTACTCTTAAACATTTCCCCCTAAACCGTAGCCGCTACTACTGTAGAGGCCTGCCAGAGCCCGAGATAAAATGCTGCTTGTCAGAGAGAAAAATCTACAAGTGAAAGAAAGATACTTCAAGCGTGGCTCCACTCATCCCACCAAAAACAATCAAAAGAAGGCAAAATGCCTCCTCACTTCCACCACAAAACATCCCCCCCCCCCGAACGTGATCAGCCCCCTCCCAAACCAAGCATATATTCAACCCTCGTGAAGGAGGGCGGCGCACACATCACACCTGAAAGCTGTCGAGCGGCTTCTTGGAGCCCGAGATGCGCGGCTTGACGCTCTCCGCGAGCGCGCTAACCATCTTCTCCGTCCCCACCTCCCTCGCCATCTTGAGCACCTGGTGAGAGAGGGCACCACCCGAAAAAAATCAACGTCCCTTCAATTCCGGCAAATTCTTGTGAATTATTTTTCTGGAAGAAGGTCGTGTTCTCCCACGTATTGATTTATCACCACGAAGTACATATCGTAGGGGAAGAGAATCTGGGCCCGTAACGGGGGGGGACACGTCACCGCAGGAGGGGCAAACAACGGCAACAGCACCAGTAGGTGACGTAAGATACCACACCCCCTGGACCGAATTTCAAAGCGAGGTCTCCGCGGCGAAGAGGGTCAACAAATCAAACTGTACGCTTTCGGAAGGTTCTGGACGAGATGGTTTCAACACCGCCATTTTGGACCATCCCTCTTCTCTGCCGTGGAGCAGTTGAGCATTTGCAAAGTCGGTCCAGGGGACGCGACAGCTAGTATTACCTACAGGTAACAGCAACAGTAGCGGCGAGGACAGCAGCTACAACATCGGCGCAACCTTCCGGCCCAGAACCGCTGCAACGTCAGTACACCAAGCGAAAACAACCACGTGGACGGTAGACGATCAAAACAACAGCAGCAGCGCAACAACCTACAGCCATCGCAACAGACAGCAACAGGGACAGAGACTTTCGGCAAACATGAACATCTTTCGCCACTGCTACCCCATTTGCCGAACTTGGCTTCAAATACCAAGAACTTCACCGGGAGTTTCATAATGCTTTAACACCGCACGGTAACACCGCATGGGCTCGACACTGCTGTTGTTGCATGACTTCACACACCCCGCACTGCTGTGCAGCAGGGAGAGCGGAACGACAAGCCGGTATCACGACCCACACATACCATCGTCTTCTCAAAGTTGGACTTGGCCACCCGCGTGAAAAAGCCGTCGTTTTTTCCGAGGGACTCTCCGTCTTCGCCCCTGGCGGTTCCGTTAATTCGTGTGTGTGTGTGTGGGGGGGGGTTAATACGCCGAACGTTCGGTACGCAGAAAAGCAAAAAAATAATATCGATGGCCATAGTTATAGTTGCGTGCAAACACGGCTGCTGCGAAGGCGGCTGTGGTGAACAAGGATTTCTCCATGGACAATCGCTGTGAGGATATGATGCCAATTATAAACTCGGAGATACATACACGTAGTGGCCAAACCCCTCCAACCGTGTAGTACACTGGACAGAAAAAATATGAGCACGGAATTCCGACAGGAATCGCTGCTCGCCGCGAACTCTTCAAGCAGGTCCACCCCACTCATTCCAATTCTTGTGTTTCGGAAAATTGTGTTGTACTGGCACTGGATTACAAATCTTAAACCAGTTGTACCAAGCAGTCCCGATCTATGACGCTCTCCTGCTTTACCCATAGACACCGCCCCTTCCAATCTTCAACATCACGCCCTACCCCCCGTTTAGTTAGCCCGGATACCCATGGCATAATTGCTTGGGCACAGCAGACGCAACTACGACGACCATTTTCTGGTTCATCATAGCCTGGGGCCGGCGAAAACCCGTCATATCACTCCGTCACATCATGCGAAGTCAATGGCCTAACGCCTACGGCATGCGTTTACATGAGTACCCCCCCCCCCCCCCCCCGCCAAAAGACTCACTTGTGAACCTCGAGCTCCTTGGCGGCCGCCTTCTCGTCCACGTAAAGCCCGACGGCGTAAACCTTCACCCCCGCGGGCCCGATCTTCTTCACTCTTACCCCAGTCCCCATAAGGCTAAATTAATTTTGCCCGGTATCACACGCCAGAGCAGGCGCAGCCAGCCGGACCCAGCCCGCCCGTGAGGAGAAATGCAGCGAGGCGGGGGAGACAAAAGACGAAGCAGTGGAGGAAGAAAGACACCAGTCAGCTTGGGAAAATGGGAAGACGAGATACATGAGTCACCAGAGAGAGAGATGAGAGTGGAGAAAACAGCAGGAGCCAACGAGAGGGAAAGCGCGGGAGTCACGATTCGATTCGGGCATGCTAACAAACATGCAAGAAGACGAAAACGCCTGGAAGAGTGTGATGGTACCGTATCCACACAAGTTGATGCTCGCTAAAAAACACACACACATGTGTCTCAACCGCACGAAGACTGACGTCTTTTCATTGGTCAGCCGGTTAGCGCGGTCGATGCTAATAAAAAAGACACACACACATCCACACCCACTGCCAGCCTTGGTAGTTTAGAAGCGCCTTCTGTTTTCAACCTCACCAAGACTGACCTATGTGCATGGGCCGGCCGGTTAGCGCGGTCTATTTCTATCGAACGAAAGGGACACGCATACACACTCTTCGGTGTTTTCAATCGCACGACGGACGTCCATTTCAATGGTCAGCCGGTTAGCGCGGTCGATGCTAATAGCAGACACGCACAATGCTGTACCTGCTTCCGCTCCCCCCGGGCAGGCTGACTTTTTCCCGGAAGGATATCTTGGTGGCCCTTTCCGTTACGTCGGCCCGGGCGCAGAGGTTCTGGGGTGCGGCCAGCAGCAGCAGCAGCGCGCCCGCCGCCGCAAGTGTAGACGTACAAGCCTTGAAAGCTCCCATCCTTGTTGTTCGCGCCTCCGCAGTCCTTTGTTTGTCTTCAACAACAAAAAGAGACATAGGGGGGGGCATTTTTCTAGGTCAAGAACTGCAGTATATGAGTGGCGACTTGGCCGTCCCAGCCAACAACTCTAAGGGCGGCGGCCATTCACTCGCTACAGTACTGCTTCTGCCCGTCAGGCGTCTGCTTCCTCTCGTCTTGCTAATTGCGGGAGAATATCATTGAATGCTGATTACAGTCTCTCGCGCTGCATAGCGTCGCCGTCGCGTTGTTCCCGAGGGAGGACGATGTCCATGGGGTGGTTGGTCACTGTGTCTCTGTGAACCGCACCACCAGCCATAGGGTGGCGGCCGCATTGTTCCCGCTGCGACAGAAGTACGCGGTGTGTACGCATACGCGGGGTGTCTTTTTCAGCCGGATCCCCCAGCACATAAAGCTTACTGCTGCACCACAGCACTAGGTCTACAAGCACGATATACCAATGGCTCCTGTGTTGCCGTCACACGACAGCCCTCCAGAGGCGGCGTCGGAGGGCGCCATGCTGCTGCCCTCTCTCCAACTCGGCCAGGAACAAAATGCAAGTTCAACGTTGCCGCCCTTCCCGCCAGAATGCTGCAGACTACACAAACAATTACGCATGTATTGTGAACCAACACGATGACTGCAGGCGCCTGCAAGCGATGGTACCAAGGGTTTTCCGCTGTTGAATTCTGAAGCATGACACAACGCGACAGCCACGGGGGTGTGCATAACCTCCACCATTGCTGCCACAACAGCCACAACAGCAGCGCAAGAGGTCCTTTTCTCTGCATGCATGTGTGTAATCCACGATCCAAACATACATGGGGCACCCACACGGCATTCAAGATGTTAAACTCGTCTCACGCTGGACTGCATATTTCTTACCGACCCCGGCTTCCGACGAAAAAGATGCACTTGCCAAGCCACGCCCTGCGATGTGACGTGTCTGCCGCTGCGCTGTTGAAAATGCATGATGGTGATGAGAATAACCCCGGGGGCTCCGCGCGATCATAGGAGTTCGTAAAGAGATTTACCACATGATTTGAAACCGTCGGACAAAGTCATTCACCAGAAACGAGTAGTCTCTCTCCCTCTAGCTCTCCCTCTCGTTTAGCTAGTGTCGTTCTCTCTCCCACACATTTTTCCAACCAAAAGAGGTCTGTCTAATAAGAGCGGAGAGGGGTCTAGGAGACACAGCGGTGCCGTGCCCCAGCAACACCTGCCTGAAGAGGAGCTCGCTTCCGCCGCCGGTGTGCTGACTGGCTTGGGGAGGGGGAAGCGCTGGGCCGGACGCGAGGCGAGAGACGCGGGGCGCAAGCAGGTATTTTTTTCTCTTTGGCACAAGATGTTTGTTGCTGTGGGTCTCTCCCTCTCTCTTGTCCTGTTGTTTTTTGTCTCTCCTTTTCTGTGCCGAAATTTGCAGGAGATGTGTTAGACCATCTGAATACACCCGTATGATTTGGGTTGTGCAGGGGGCCTCGCCGCCTTCGTTTTTATCCACGTGGTACGCATTAGGGCGCATCACCACCAGAACTGCCGAGGGCTCAGCGGTAGCAGCGCACCTGCGTGTGGAGCGCTATTGGCAAAGGTTTTACAGGGCGTTGTTGATGGCGTGCGGTGCAACCTCTTCAACTTTTTGACACGCGAAAAAAATCGGAAAGAAAGAAGTTGTACTGTTTTTTATTTCCGCGATGTCGAGCTGTAATGATGCTGTAAGCGGCCTATTTATGCGCGTGTCTTGTGCGCCAACCTTTTGCACACTTTCGCGTGGCGATAGCGGGGGATGGATAATGGTTGCTTGGCTCTTGTCGGGGGTCGAAGCTGGCCTGCGTGCGCGATGCACCTTTAGCGGCGACACGTCCATGTTGTCAACCATCACGGCCCTTACGCAACATAGCTGTCCCGCCGTCGTCTGCCTGTCGGCCACAATTGTTGGCTAAAAATAACACACACACAAAACACATTTTTGCATCATGTGTCCATCCATCTGCGGTTGAAAGTGGATACGCACCCCGCCGTGCGTGCGATATTTCTTGTTGGGTCTGTCTTCTGGCAACGATGGCACGGCTGTTGGGAGGGAGGTGCCTGTAGGGGGTACCCACGCCTCACTCTCCTGTTTGAAGTGCGGAGTTTTTTTGCCTCTCAGACGTGTTGGTCGGTCGTCACCTACACACTACAGCAGTACCACACTAAATACAACGTACGTAAGCAAAACGAATCTCTGCTTTTTTTCCGCTCCGCCTTTCTATTTAATGTTTATATGCGCATATGATATGCACACGCCCTTTCGCCCTCTCCAACCAACCGAAGACGACACTCCACCGCGACCCATATCCACACCGAACATGTGTGTGTCCGGTATCCGTTACTTGAGCAGTAGGTGCGCGAGCACGGAAAGCGCGCGACAGATATACAGAGGCGCTTTTGTGAAGCACAGACAGGCGCCGGCCGCTTGCTGTGAGGCTGGTTCGGTGATGTGTTGTGCCCCGCGTTTGGGTATATATTCTTATCTCCTCCCGCTCTGTAAGCAAAGAGTTGAATATGTCCTTCACGCGTTAATTTGAAGTAAATATGCACCATACAACAGATCCGCGCGCGCTGTTTGCGCGCGTGGCCCAGCAGCTTACTCGGGGTTTGTAGTCCCCCCGCCCTGGAAACAATAGTTGCGCTGGCCCGGCGCGTCTGCCAAGAATTTGTTCCTTCCTCGCGGGTGTACCGCACTATGTGGTGTTGCGGGTCATAATATGCCCCTCCATCTTTTCGGGAGGGGGAGGGCGCGTGCCATTTAGTCCCACTTCATCTTGTCGGTGTTACAGCACATCTATTGCTGCTGTCGTCTACACACATGCACAAGCAGAACAATATTCTTTGAAGCCGGCACCTATTACCCCGGTGGTGAGATGCCGGTTATCGCAAGCCCGCGTCATCGGCAACAAGAGAATGAAACTTGCAGCAAGGAGGCGCCCACCCGCCGGTGGAGATGCGTGCAATCATAATATCGTCGGGAAATCTCAAAGCAGCCCGCATCAGAGCCACCACCCACCAGCAGAGAGGCAAGCAGCAGTTGCGACAATCTGTTCCTTTTGCACCGCGGGCACTGCTGCTGCTGTGTAGATAACCATGACCACCGGTGAAACGCACACTGATACACACCCAAGATCAACGAACACCTCCTGATCTTTAGATATCTGGATATACCGGAAATCCACGGCTCAATGTGTAAACTGCACGGGAGGCTATTTACGAGGCCTACCCATGTCTTGTGCATACACTTCCTCCAACAACAATTAAGTGCGCGCCCAAGTTGGCGTGCCTCCAACTACGGTAGCGGCGCTTTGGCGGGGTGTTTCTATTGCAGCCCTACATCCGTATAAATACGACTAACTACCGAGGTGGAGAGATTATGTTACTGGCACAGCTACAGTGTCCCCGTCGCGTTCGAGACGACTGGCGCACGCTGTCTACCATTGTTGTGTTATTGTCTGATTAACAACATGTTGGTGCCATCTTTACTTGAAGTATATTTTCCATTTCTACTACAGGAGCACCGTTTAATACTAAAATCCGTTGCGGTCGGTTTGCACGCAAGAGTATTCGCGCGTGTAGTGCACTCGTCTCTTCCAATTGCACTACACGCGCGAATTTTTCTAACACTTTTGAATTTTTCACTTTTTCGCGTGTAGTGCACTCGCCCCTTCCTTGTATTGGCGGGATTTTGAATTTTTCAAGATTTTTCTGACACTTTTGCCCCCCCAACCTAACATGCATACCCTCATTATGTGTACCGGCTCTCGATGAAGGTTCATTTCGTTTCAGAACCGAAAATGTTTTTGCGCCATCTTGCACAATGTCAACATGCTTGCATCGCAGAATAGATGCTCGAGGGCGAAGTCGCACGCATGTATGTATTGTTTCAAGGTGCGCAAAAGGGACCTTTGGGGCTACAATAGACTATTACTGGCCGTTTTTTGTGAGTCGGGGTGCCTTTCAAGCCCTCAAAACTTGGCATCTAGCAGTGCTGGCTATCCATTTAGTATCTCACATAAATTCGTACAACATTGTGATGATTCATCATCCCGCCGGGCAAACATCATCCATTTGACTTGCGTGTTCCAGTTTGTCCATGCTGTGGGTTGTCCAAAGAGCAAGCGCTCGCCTCTGCCCCATGAGTTTCCTTCTTGCTTCTGCCCAAGCAACAAGCTCTGTTTCCTCCTCAAGTTCGTTTTCGTCCAGATGCCCGCACTTCCTTTGCGCCTCAGGTCATTGGGCTCCCGTGGCGTGTTGCGTCATTGGATTGTTTCGCATATTGCGCGCGTGAATTATGCTTGTTCTTTTCCTGGAGTTGTTGCCAAAGGCTGCTGCTACAGGTCCCCTGTTGAAGCACAGCAGCACTCAACGAACGGCGGGATGCTCGACATGGGAAGACTTGAACCAAAGCGTCGCGAGGTCTTACGAGCAAACCATGACTAGTCTTGACTCGTTGCCTACTATCTATCGTGTACCCTCTGTCAAGATACGTAGATGCCGACCCCATGTCACCATGGCTCTGCCTCTTTCTCTCTCTCTCTCTCTTGGCGACCGCTCGAACCACACAATCGAACTGCCGGACACAAACACAGACCCGCACATAGCCGGTGAGCGCGGTAGATGCTATAGTAGTAAAGGAAAACACATACACACGTCGTTTCCGCACACACGCACGCTTGTCTCCAGGCCCTGCGTCCGGGCTCCAAGTTAGCTGCGGAGTGTGTTCTGCCATGGGTGATGCTTCTCTCTCTGTTCGTGTAATCCCCGTCTCCTCATCTCTCCCCTAGTTCGGTGGCGACCGCACAATAATAGACACGCTGCAGAGGAAAGGCTTGAAAAATGACTAAAACGAGTAACATTCCCAAACACGACCTACGGTAGCTGCTTCAGACAGTACACGACCGTCACGCCGCGGGCATCCGAGCTCGCTGGCCTAGTATCGTAGCGCTATTGAAGAGGGCGGCCTAGGTTACACCGCAAGAATGTGCCCTCAAGTCTCTTGTCTACACCCCGCGGATTTTTTTGGTGTCTAAGATGGCTCGTTTGTCGCCTCGTCGTTGGTTCATCTTGGCTTCGTTTGTCATCTTGGACTCTTTTATTTTTACGAAGCCCGAGGGATCTTGCTGCGTGCATCCCGACTGCGAACGCATGTGTACTGCTTTTTGTTCGTGTTTTCGGGCTTGTGTGGAGACGAGGATTGTGGTTGCAGTGGCGCTTTGGTTCCCTCCTTCCCCCGAGACTCTGCTGGATGATCGGCTGCGGTTGCTCCTGTCTGCTGGTGGTGCTTGTGGATCGAACGTACTAGCGGCAGCAACAGTCGATGACCGGTGATATTAAGCTTCATACACCCGCCACGTGTATCTCAAGAGGTGGAAGTTGGTGCAGGCCAAGCAACCGCCCACCGGCGGGAGGCGGGTCGCACGCATGACCTGCGAACCGTTTCGCTTTCAAAACCTACAGCAGCCGTGTTGGTAGGTGGATGATTCTGCGCGCATCAAAGACGACTTCACCACCGTCCTCAACATACACAACTGATATTTGTGTGATTTCTTCTCGTTTACTGCTTTCTTCAAGAGTACCAACGACCCGTAGACGACGCGTGTAGAGAACATTGAAGGCGGTGTGTGCCCAGGGTAACCTAGGTACCGCCGCAGCCTCTCCGGACCGCCGACTTTGAAGGGTCGATTGCTCCACCGCTGAGCGGGTGCGAAAGCCAACCGAGATACAGCACACGCATGGGAGGAGAGCTCCCGACTAGTGTTTCCAAACCCGACCCTCTTCGGCATTGGCAAGGTTTGTGTCCGTACGACCACAGAAAGACTACCCATTCGGGCTGTCGGGGATGTATGTGTTGGTGGATGCTGGAGCGATCGATCTAGCAACGATGGTCTTTCGAGGGTGTGTGTTTTGTGTGCTTTCGTCCTACTTCTAATTATTATGGCGACAATCCCCACATTTTTCGTGGTGACACGAGATAGTGTAGCCGGGCAACTGCGGTGATCCCACACGAAAAAACAAAGCAATGAAAAACGGATCTCAACTTGTGAGCGACGCCTCTAGGAGATAGCATATTGCTCTTGGGAATTTCCCGGAGTTTGGACATTTGACAGCAAGGAATGGCATCATCATCATCATGGCAGAAAAACCAGACAGCTTTCTCGAAACACCGCGAGCACACCAGCAATCGAAGAACAACCGCTGACGAGGGCGCACCCACCGCACAAGACGGACAAAAATAATCCTGCAACAGCAGCCCGAATCATTGTACACACCCTGAAAAGTATTGTACTCTACAAACACTGAACAGCAGTGTAGCGCACGTCTCACCCGTCTCGTAGTAGTAGTAGTAGTAGTAGTATTTAGTAGTAGTTGTTGTTGTTGTCTTCACAATAAACTCATATGTCAGTTGCTTTTCCCAAAATCTAGCGAAGACTTGGTCCGTGGTCACAAAAATGCTATTGTAGAGCCATCAGAAATCTAGTTGAAAATGCGATAGACATCCCTTGCAAGTCCGTGTGTGTTTTACCATTTTCAGGGTCCGGACGGCCAAACTTCGTGGTGACAGAGATTGCATGGTAGGCCTGGTGTCGCGGTTGTCAGGATTGTGTTGAATCAAGATGGTTGGTTTCCCTGGAAGAACATTCCGTCTGGTCGACATTTTTCTGTTTGTTTTTTTTTATTTTTTTTGCTGTTTGGTGATTTGCTACTTGCCCGGGTTTGTAGAGGCTATAAAGCTAAATAGACCTATAGGAAGGATCTGCGCGCGTTCGTAGAGACAAGACTACATGAACGGACGTTCGCCAGCAAAGAAAATTCTGCTACGATGCCGTCATCATCCATCCGCTTTGAGTTTTTGCGCCATATCGAAGGCCTTCATCCTTTTCTCGCTGGACTCATTTTTTTCTTTCACGTCTTCTATATAGGGTTGAAACAAATGTCGGTGCCTACCACGCACGTTTGCCCGCCGAGAGGAATCACACGAGTCGAGTAGCGACGTACAGCAGCTGAAATACTCTGTAGGCCATGTTTTGTTGTTTTGGCCCCCGGTACGAAGCGTGCCGTCTCCCGTTGACTCGTTGGGGCTTGCCGTCCGGGGCGCACGGCCATTGCACTGAAATTACCCGCACTTACGTACAGGCAGGCGTTCTTATTCCCTAGGGTCATGCTACGAATGGCCCCTACACGAGTTTTTATGTAAAAGGGGTGGTTAACCAAGCTAAAAAAAATGTGCTCAAGTTCTTAGATAGTTTTTTTGGCTCAGTTTCTTCATGTCCAAGTTTGTACGCATGAGAAGAACAGAGAGAAGCGTTTTGGTACATTCCCTGTGGATCTAATAGTGCGCGGGGTCCCCCGGTGCCCGAGCTGCGTACCGTACCGTGTGCCCAGCGTGTCAGCATAGACTACATTCACCACGACATGGTGGTGACATCGTAACTAATATCGCGGAGTGGTTGCACCCAGCACCTCTGCTTGCTGTAGGTGCTGCTGCTGCTGTATATCTGCTTGCGTAGCACCGGTAGTATTGCCACAGTCTAGTGGGTTGTTGCGCTGCACATTTTGTTCGATTTCCTCTCCCTTTTGCAGGCATCGCTCGCGTGTTTTTATCGCAACGTGACTGCCCCCCCTGTTCTGCACCAAGAGTAAAGTCTTTTCTCCTGCCGTTGCTGCTGCTGCCACTACTGCTGCTGCCGCTAACGCCCCCTGTACCACCCAGCAGCTCTCGTGCTCTGGTGGTTGGGAAGGAAAAAGACGCCACGCCAGCTGTGTCTCCAGCTTTGTTTGGCCTGTTCGGGAGTTGCCGGAAGGGGAAACTACGGCAGGTAGAAGGCGGCGTGAGACGCGCGCTTGCCTAAGGGACGGAGAGGGAGTACCCCTTCGCTTCGACAGACAAGGGTACACGAGGGACCTTTTCGATTGCCTCTGGTGACGTCGGTCTGCGGTGAGGGATATCTTGCTTGCTGCGGTTCGGCCAACAAACACAGCAGCAGCAGAAGAATACCAGCCGTGCTCGCTTCTTGGAGGTCGATCGGCAAAGCAGACCAAGATGGGGATCTGCTCGAGCAAGATGTCCGCGGAGGATAAGGAGGCGTTGAGAAAGGTCAGTCTGGCGGTTTCACGTTTTTTTTTTTGTTCATGTGTGCTTGTTCCGTTTCGCGTGTCTCGGTTACGACAGGGGAGAGCGTCGCGGGTTGTTTGTTTTTTTGTCTCGTCAACACACGCAAAGTTCTTGTTGCCGATGGGAAAAAAACGGTTGAAGGAGTGATGAGCAATTGTCGCTATGGTAGGTCGACTGTGTGTTTGTGTGTGTGTGTGTGTTTTTTTTTTCGTGACCCGTGGCGAAACGCCGGCCAGCGGCTGCCATGACGTCATCGTGACGTCATCATGTTATGATCACCACCGCAAACCGACTGTTGTAGATGGCTGTACTCACGCCAATCAACGGCACTGCCACTACCGACAGCGTGTAAATCGTAAATTATGTATTACAGCAGTATCGTTTGTGCGCCCTCCCTCCGCTCGGTGTGGCATGTCTTCCTCCCCTTGTTCTTCCTTCCGTTTTCTTCACCCTTTTTTTTATTTGCGCATCAGGCACGTGCCATGACCAGAAATGCCGCCAGCACCGACGTCAGGTTATCAAATATATATGTCCGGATGTTTTCTGGTGTGTTTTGCGGGCATATACCCATTACTGTCCACTGTCCGTGACCCGAAACAAAAGGGGAATGGCATTTTGGCACAACCATGCAACGACTGCTTTGCGTGCTGTGAGCGACCGACGTGAAACCACTGGACCAATCAGCGCTGAATGCGGGTTTTCTACGATTTGTTCTTGAGGGCATACTGGTACCTTTTTGTACGCGTGGGCAACGCCCGCCGTACGTACGATGCTGGCACTTTCGCACTCACGCGGTGAAACGACGGTTTCATGTTTGTGTGCGTGTGTTTCAAGTAGCGGTTGGCCTAAATTTGGCTCTCGAATCGCGGACTGCGCAACGGGGCCGCGTCTCTCATCGTATTGCTATACTACTGCGTCCCCAAAACTGGAAAAGTCCAAACAACAAAAAACAGAACCCACCCACCCATCATGGTACGCTATTTATTCCAATGCGGCCAAACGAGCCGCCGCTGCTGGTTGTGTGTGTGTTGACCACGCTCTCTCTACTTTGTCGGCCTGGGTCCCCAAATCTGAAGAAGAAAAAAAAAGCCCAAGAAACAAAAACAAATCACAACCAGCCATTGTGGTAAACTATGTATTCCTGTGCGGCACTCACAAGAATCGAGCTGACCCTCCTGTTTGTGAGTGTTTTGACCTTGCTCTCCTACTCCCGCGTTGTTTTTTTTTTACCTCCAGACGAAGGAAGTGGAAGCCGCGAACGCAGCGGCCTTCCAGAAGGAGCAGGAGAAGATAAAGCTGCTGCTGTTGGGAGCGGGAGAGTCAGGCAAATCCACCATCTTCAAGCAGATGAAGGTATGGATAGCTCCGCGACAGCAGCAGACCCCCCCCCCCCCCCCCCTCTTTTTCTTTCGCGCGTGTTTTTTTTTTTTTTTTTCTCTTCTTTCGGTAGGTTTCAGCACTTTTCCTGTGCGTGCTGCGTACGGTAGCCCGGTCGGAGCGGAACTCCGCCCTTTTGCACGAAGAGGCAAATGGAAGTTTCGTTGGGTGCATAGCGGGGGGTGAATGGACGCTGTGCGGAAGGACAAACCAGTCCCCCCATGGTTTCAAACAAGTTCCCTGGTGTTGTTGCGAGCATTGGATGGTAGGTCGTGTGATTGGTGGGAGTCCCTGAACGATGCCAAATCATTTCTTTTTTTTTCGCGTGATGTCACGCGATGAGCCGAAACGGATACGTGTGATGCTGCGCATCATTTTCAGAGACAAGCAAGACGACCAGGGTAAAATGACGAAACTGTGGAACGAAAGAACCGTAGTCAGGAATGTTCTTTCGGTGGTGTACCTCTGTTCGGAGTGGAAGATGTGCTTCTTCATCTCGAAGGAAATGCACTGTCAGTGTGTCAATTTTCCTGTAAGGGCAAGCACGTTTGAGAGCGCCCGCCCTTGCCCTGTTTTTTTCGCCTCACCCTGGTTTCAACACGAGACGACCACAACGCTAGTGGCGCTTTTTCTCGATCCGTGCGTCCTTTTTTTTCTCACCTGTCTCCTCCCCCCCCTCCCCCGTTAGCACTTCCGTTCTCTCTTGGTATTCATTTTGTTTTATGATTCATTCGTCGATCCCAGCAATGCCAATTTTGTTGTTGTTTTCCCCCCTGCCCCCACTTGCCATCCTCTCGAGCACGCACGGTCAACAGCTAAGGCATTCAAAACATGAGTATGCCCCACCCGCCCCCACGCTTTTTTTTTCTTCTTTTTTTTCTCAGATCCTTTTCGGGGTTGTCTCCGCGGAAGAGAAGAAGCAGATGACGCCTGTGGTGTACAGCAATACAATCATGAGCATGAAGATTCTCGTGGAGCAGGCGACTCTCCTTGGCGAAGAGGTCAGTTAGTTTTGTAGAGGGTAGAGGGTAGCGGGTTCCGTGCAGATGTTTTGTGACCATGGCCCTGGGGTGGCGGGTGAGGTGTTTAAGAGCCGAATTAAGCTGCCATCCAGACTATTCGTAGTCAGGGGCTTCTGTTGGTGGCGCGTGGGGTAGTCGCGGGCAACGCCCATGCTAGGGGAGCGTCGTCGCAGCCCGCCTTGCGTCTGATGGAGAGCATGTGTTTTTGGATGCTGCCGTCTTGTGTGCGTGCCACTTTGTTTGGTTCTCCGGAGCAGAACATTTTGCTTTGGGCATAGCTGTCGCGGGGGGGACATAGGGCGAACGGGGCCACTGTCTAACGCAGATTAATTTTTCGGTCCAAAGAGGTTCTCCTTTCTCCTTTGTGCACCTGCCTTGTGGCGAGAAACCATAGACCAATCAGGCTCTGGCTCATTTCGGGCCTGCGAGCCAAAGAGTAGTCGATCGCAATCATACCATGCGCTGGCCTCCACATGTATTTGACGGTCGCCGCTGGCACCGAATGTTTTCTTTTTTTCTTTTGTTGTCTCCGAAGACAAAACGTGTGTCAAACGTGTTTCTGGAAAAAAATCTCAGACCCCTTTTCCTTTTCTCTCAGGGGGCCCGGCCGGTACGCTCGTGTGAGAGAGTGTTGCGAAGCGATATTCGGTTTAGCGGAGCAACTTGGGTTGGGGTCCTCACCGGAAGTAAACCTTGTGTGTGAACCACACGGGCTGGAGCGTTGGTTTTTTTGTAGTGATGGAAACCAAAAATTAAAGAAAACAAATTGCGCCAACAAAGGTGCAATACGCGTGTCTCTCTGTATGAAGGACAGCGGTCCAACGCGTGTAATGTTCTTATGCTACTTTTTTGTGAACTCGGGTGCTTTAACTTGTTGATTATTTCGTTCCTGCGAATGTCGGCAACGTCCCTTTTTTTTTTCTCGGTGTATTTTATCAGGAAAACGTGGCATGCCCGGAGTCGTTCAAGCTGGTGGTGGACTGCGAAGACAGTGCCGCGATCGACATGGAGCTAGGGCAAGCCATCCAGGACGTGTGGTCTGACCCCGCCATGTTGAGGGTAAGGCCGCCCTTGTCGTCTTCTTTGTATGTCGTTGTTTTGTTGTGGCTTAGGAGCAAGTATCGAATTCTGGTAGACCCGGCATTCGGCCAAGCTTCCCTTAGAAGACACGGACCATCAACCCGCCCCCCCCCCTTGATTTCGGATTTTTTTTGTTTGTGCAGGTGTGGGAGCGGAGAGCCGAGTACCAGATCGTGGAATCGGTCAAGTATTTCTTCAACGAGATGGAGCGGATCAAACAGGACGACTTTGTCGCCACCCAGCAGGACGTCCTCTACTCTCGCGTGCGCACCTCCGGCATCGTAACAGAGCGGTGAGACGTGAGGATAGCGCCGTCATAGATTTTGTTTGTTCACTTTTTTTTTACGGTGATGAATCAAAGAATGCGACCGCGCGCTACAAATGGGTTTTGTTTTTCTTTGCACTTTGAAGTAGTGGACGAGAAAAGTAGGTGTCACCACTCGCGCTTACATGGATTTTGGGGTTGACTTGTTGTTTGCATTTTTTCGTGATGGAAAACACAAGAATGCGACCCACGGAAGGCGCCCGTATTGTTACAAACACACGCACACGGGTACAACGCTTATTACACACATAACAAAATAGGTACGAGATCGACGGGTCGACGTTCGAGATGTACGACGTCGGGGGCCAGCGTAACGAGCGCAAGAAGTGGATCCACTGTTTCGACAATGTGACCGCCGTCATCTTCGTGGCGGCACTGTCGGAGTACGACCAGTGCCTGTTCGAGGACGCCTCGACCAACCGGTAAGTGCAAAATATATCCGTCCGGTTATGTATTGTAGCAGGTTTTTGTATGTCTTTTAAATATATCTATGCTCATTTTTATGAATGTATTGATTGTATGCCACCCATAGTCAATTTTTCGTCCGCTACGAAAATGAAGAGGTGTTTCGGTGCCAAGATTTGGAGTGCTGTAGAGGCACTGACTGGGTCGTGCTATGGGGAAGCATGGCAGGACGTTCCTCATTACAGGCCAGCGAAAATGTCCCGAGCAGAGGCCTAATTTTGCCTGATTTGGGAAGACTGACGGTATATAGAGCAATGGGTGGTGTGTGTGATGGGCTGAAGGGGGTGAGGATGTGCAACCGAGGATGGCAAGCGAAAAATATCCCGGGAAGAAGCGCTGCCACTCGGTAGTGTGAACCCCCGGCACAGGTTTGCAAACCCGTGTGACGTCACGACAACGCACGTACGATACGATACGGTACCTACCCATGGTTGAAAAGCGGGCCGTGCGGATGACCGGCACGTACCGATCGGACAGCAAGAGTTGTGTATGACTTCACAAACAAGGTACAGCATGCATGGTACCCGCTGTTGAACCCCGTCTTCTCTGACACAGCTGTGTGACGACGTCACAACGAAGTACGTACGTACACGTACGTATGTGTGCATGGTTGGAACGAAACCGTCGTGGTGGTCTTTCGGTCCGGATGATGAGCGACACAGATTTTTTTATCTCGAACGGGTGTTACAGTCTTTTCTGTGATTATACATGTTACCCACAGGGGGAGATGTCCCTATACATGCTGTCTGGGAAATCGTAGACATACGGGTACTTTCTGACGCTATGGCTTCATTGCTAATCTGTCTCAGACTCTTTTCTTCTATAGATAGAGATGGATTCGTTGTGTCATATTAAGAAAAAAAAAAAAAAGCGAGTGTGACGAGGTCACAACTAACTCATGACGGTTGGAACGAAACCGCCTTCGTCATCGTGCAGGATGATGGACACACCGACACAGATTGGTCGTGTATGTATCGCTCACTGAAAGACTTGAGCACGTCTTTCGACTCTATTTAGAAAGTAAGTATAGCCTCGCAGAAAGACTACCCATTCGAGATATAACCTCAAGTCGAAAGGGATGTGTTGGAGTCTTTTCAGTGAGTGGAGGACAACCGGCTGGGTACTTGACTTCTTATTTCGAGTCTTTCGACTATTGTACTATTGTGGTTATAGATCGACCGGTGGTGTTTCTTTTTTTTTTTTTTGTACATGTTTAGCACACGTCGTCGGCTGTACTTGAAAAACGACCTACCGCTAGCCAATTAGGGGTAGCGCAGGTAGCACTCACCTATCTACAGCAGCAGCAGCAGCAGCACGCTTGTTGCAGCACGCTTGTTGCAGCACACAGGAGAAAGGGTTTCAAACGACGCACGCATGATATCCATGGTTGAAACGGACGAAACCGTCTCCTCCCGTCTTGGTTCCGTCATCCTCGTTGTGGGTCGGTCGGCGGTGCAGGATGACCGAGGCGATGGACCTCTTCAACGAGATTTGCAACAACCGCTTCTTCAGCGAGTCCTCCATGATCCTCTTCCTCAACAAGAAGGATCTCTTCGCAGAAAAGATACAGCGGGTGAGAAGCAGCAGAGTTGGGGTTGGTTTTGGTTGCGAGTTGAGCACGTTAGGTTGAGGCCCTGGGCGCGTTGGGTTTTGGGGTTGGGATGGGTTGAGCAAGCAGAGCGGCGGGTGGGGCGAGTGGTGGAGCGGTCTGAGCGAGGATAAACCCAAGAATGGATTGGTCCGCAGCAAGCGGTAAGATTGCGGCGCCCTCGCCGCTGTGTGCACGCACACCCGGTTCGTACTGGTTTTTGTACAACGCGTCGATTTTGAAGCCGCCGGTTATGGCGTTCTCCTCCATCCTGGAAGGGGAGTCGCTGTAGAGATGTCCGGCGGGTAGTGCATCCCGGAATCGGTGTTGTTTTTAGGGCCAGTCTCTGTTGTGTGCGTCTTCTTTCGAGCCGAGGGGCTCGCCCCACAGGGGTACGCACGGCGGAAAGGGCTGTTTCGCTTGTGTAAGCTTGGGATGGTTGACCGCAAAGGGAGGCAGTTTCTGTCGCCGATGCTAGGAACATTGTACACCCGCTATGGAGCTCTAGGGTTTGAAGCGGGGCCGCGTGTGGTCTCGGTTTGAACTGCTACCCTCTGGCCTATCCAATGCTGTTGATTTTTCGTGTTGGTTATCTTCAGGGGCGACCGACAAAGGTGGGCCACCGCTACTGCCCCGACTCATCCCCCCCCCCCCCCGTCCCGATGTGTCGCTCTTCTTCTTGTCAGGTGGACATCAAGAGTGTCGAGAAGTGGGCGGACTTCACGGGGGAGCCTAGAGACGAAGAAGCAGGGAAGGCCTACTTCCTTTCGCTGTTCCTCAAGGTGAAGAACGTGACGTCATACCGTTTTTTTTTTTTGAGCGACCGACGGGAAGTGCCGCTTTTTTCATGAAACCGCCAAAAACCCTACGGCAGTCAAAAACGTAAGATACCACACCCTCCTGGACCGATTTTCAAAAATGGCTCTCAATTTCTCGATGAACGAAGAGGACGCATATGTAAATCAAAACGATTCGTTTTCGGAAGGCTCTCGGCGAGACGGTTCGTAGGACGCCATCGTCGGCGCCGCCGGCCAACCTTTCTATCGTGGAGTACTCGAGCTTTGAAAATGGGTGCAGAGTGTGTGGTGCCTTATATATTGCCTACGGAATTTGTTTAGCTTCTCCACGGGACTAACCGCACGCGGTCACCGTGTGGACCTACCTGCACAGAGAGGTAGGTTCTCGTATTTTTGGGACCGCGGGCGAAAATCGACAGAGGAGCTTTTACTCCACAATAGCAAGCGAATCCCCAAGATGGAGACGTTACGCTTGTTGAACAAGAGGGCAATTGTTTTATATGCAATATCTCAAGACACATGCTATGTTTGATACCCCCACGTCTTGGGGGCAAATAACGGCACCCCGTCCGCATTTTTGTTTTTCGTTGATGACTTTATATGTTCTGTTTCAACCTCGCGTTTTTTGGATCGTTGAAGTTCGATGGGGTGTTCGAGTCGAAAAACACACCAGCTGCGTGAGCTGTTGGGCCTTTTGGGAAACGTCACACGCCGCAGCTGGCAGCCAACTGCTGTGGGTTGGTCCTGCCTCCCTCTGCTTTATTTTCATCTCGCATCACACTCCGTGATGGCAGCTTTGCTCTCGTGAGCCCACCCCAGAGTTGTATCCTTTACACCAACTATTTACGCGCACCCGCCCGCCGGATGGTTGCGTGTATCCCCGATTTTAGGTGAACCAAAATCCAGAGAGAGAAGTCTATCACCACGTGACCTGCGCCACCGACACAGAGAACGTGAACTTCGTCTTCAACTCGTGCAAGGACGTTATCCTGCGGAGCAATCTGAAGGACTCGGGCTTTGTTTAGGAGCAAGGCACGCGCGAGCTCACGCCACGCACGTGCGACAGACAAAAACGACGGCAACAAGCTCGTCGTCGTCGTAGTCGAAAATTTCCGTGTTTTAATTGTAGATTCTGAAAAATACCGTACCGTTCGTACCGTTCCACGGATCGGCCTGCTTCCGGTGGTGGTGGCGGAAACGTTTTCCCTGGCCCCGCCGCCGCCGCCGCCGCCGCCGCCGCCGCCACCAATCAATCAATCTATCTAAATTCAACCAAGCCAGCCATTGCGTAGTGGAGAGAACAATAATAGCACCCGCTCTCTTGTAAATTCATTTTCATTTTCTTGTATGATGGGGCATTAACACTAGGGTCCGTTGGCCTCGGCATGGAACATTTAAACAACTCCCCTTGCCGTTTGGGCGCATGCGGGTGGTACCGGTTGTTCGGGGTGACGTCCGGCTGGGGTTGGGGGGATGAGAAATGACGCGTCGTTTTCGGTCTTTCGGGGTTGTTCTGATTTGGACCCCGATGGTATGGCGGCGTCTAATAGGCGAAGCCGCTGTTGAGGTGCGGTCCATGCAACCTTGGACGGCCTCGCGTTCTTTTCGCCGAAAGGCAGAGAGAGGGCGAGAGAGGAAGAGCAAGAGAGAGCGAAGATAGAGAGAGCGGCGTGGAGTCATGGGGGGGGGGCTCGGCGCGGCAGGAGCGTAGCGGCGCATTACGGTGGGTGTCAGAGCCGGGAACTGACGGTTGACGTCTCGTGCCATGGGGGGAGATGGATGCGCCCGCCCGCGTGTGTATTATCTATGTGGGATGTGATGTGTTGTGTCCGGTTTTTCTAGTTGCTGGGGTTTTTCTCTAGGGCTCTCCTCCTCCTGTTCTCGGCCTTGTTGCGCGTTTGCTCGCAGACAAAAGGGGGCTATAGTAGGAGCTTTTCTTTGGTGATGGGGTGGGGACCACCCAAGCCCTACAACGTTTCCACTCCCCCTTTTGTGACATCTCACGCGTAACATGGTGTGTTTGCGGGGGGGCCTGCGTGAATTCCGGGGGGGGGGCCCGTGAATTCCGGGGGGGGGGGCAATGGTCAGGTGTGAGATAGGTAGACGACGGCCCAATCAAAAGGGAGGTGATGGGTGTGGTAGCGTTGGGCCTCCTCCGCCTTGACCAACCCCTACGCGTTGTTGAGCGGAGAACTCGTGCTGGCAGCTGCCGCGGACTTGGAGGTGTTTTTTTTTTTTTCACTTGCGCCTCGTCGTGAGCGTTCACGTACTGCTGGGGGCGAGTGCTTTGGGACTGGCTGCGATTGGTGTCTGTCTGCGTGTACATAGCCCGGCTGCGCGTTCGCAAGCACGTAGTTAGCATGCATGCGTTGCGGCGGCGTTTAACCTAGCGGAGTTTGTTCGTGCTTTTTCCTGTCTCCCTTTGCCCGAAAAGAAACAAGAAACGCTCTTTTGTAGAGCATGCAAACCATGCAATCGTACATGCCAACGAAGGAGTTTTTTCAAGGGGAGTTTTTTGTTTTTGTTTTTTATGGCGTGCAATAGTAGTGTTTTCTTCTCTTGTTATTTTAGCGCATGCCAGGAAGCTTTAAACACGTTTACACGTTCGTCCTGTACACGTCACGTGTAGTTTGTGTTGTCTTTCTCTTTTTTTCATGTCGTTCGTGTATTTTTTTTTTTTGCTTGTCGTCTGTTTTGCTTAATTACAGTAGCTCGCTCACACCGTGCACAAAGCGAGGGGGTTGCATGTCGCCACCGACGCTTTGCAATTGCATGGGCTTGTCTCGTTTAGTATTTTAACGGAGGCGACGCAATCGCCTGAGTGGTTGGGTGTGCTGAGATGTCTCTCGTGGGGTACATGGCAGCGAGCGGGTTCGATCGGGAGTGATGATTTTTGTCCACTCACGTTTGATTTCAGGTAAATGTAATGGGAAGTATTACGGGTGATGATTTTGATGCTGCACCGGCCGCGCAAAACCCATGGCACACCCATTATCCCCACCGCGATTGGACTATTGCTACATACAGCAAGCGGTCGATTCGGTTTGTCATGACCACGTGATCATCTTTCATTCGCGTGAGAATCTCGGACTTAGCGCCGGCCGCCGCTCAAGGATGTACGATATCCTTGGAATGTATGTAGGGTCGCCTTTATTTACGCCCGTGTCGGTTGGCGGCTGAACACGCCCAGCCTCCCTTCTGGCGTACACAACAAATATTGATGGCAACAAGATGTGCGCGCAATGTTTATTACAATGTGGGTGGACAGGGTCGGCACGGTTTCGAACACGGTTCTCTTCGTGATTTGCCATCGACAGGATAGAACATCCAAACTAACTCCCACTCATCCCTCGACCTCTAGCCGGCGATTTAGGAACCGCGTGGCACGATGTTTTGTTGTCCTCTACATCGACCTCTCAATCAAGAAGCCCGATCCTTGCGCATGGATAGTGCGCGTGGGCAGAAGGCCCTCAACACACATTCAGCTTCCGCAGGTGCATGTACAGTTGTAGTCTACATGCGCATCACCTGTCTAAGTCAAGACAAGGCTTGTAACCTCCCTCTGCACCAATATTCTGAAGCTGTAACATCCCGACCATGCCTCGGCAGGGCATTGCAAATCATGGCCCCTCCCCAAGTTCCATCGATTTCCGCACCCGGTAGCGTACGCCACAACAAGTGGATGGCCATGTGCGACCATTTGCGTTGTGTTTTCTCTCGTCTTCAGACGAAAACAAATTAGGAAAAAATCGAATCTCAGGGTCCGCTTGGCAGCAAAGAACAGACCGATCTCGACCTACAGCGCACGTCTTGCGATATCTTGAGCATGCCTTTGTAGGGTATCGCGCATCATGGGCCCTCGCCGACTTTCATCACCCCTCGCGCGCTGTAGCATACACCACAAGTACGTGTGCGAGCATGTGCGACCATCCATGCGTTTCTCTGGTTCGCCGTCTTCCCGTCTCCATGTTTTAAAATTCTTTTTCAAAAACTCAACAAATTCATGTGTTCCACTGACAAGAGTCCGGGATGGAGTAGCAATGAAAATTCATAGGTTGAATTTGCTCTTTGTCTCCTCGAACACTTTGGCAATGTTGGGAAAAGCAGGTGGTGACTTACTAAATGAAAGTGTGTGTGGGTCGAGTGAGTTTCCAACGCGACATAGTGCCAATAAGCCATGATACGACGACAGCGCATACGGTGAGTGGACGAGAAAACAAGTTGCACGTTGCGCCAAGAAGTGCGCCACCATGCGCGCTGTCCCGGTGTTTCGGTCCTCTTGATTGACCGGTTCGCCTTCATCTTCCTGTCGTGGTCGCGTTTTTTGGCTTCTCGAACAAAGTCGGAAAAAATCGAATCTCAGGGTCGGCGTGGCAACAACCAAGAGCATCATGTTCAATTCAGAGGCTACTGTTATGAAAATGTGTGCGGGCCGAGTAAGTTACCGACTCGACCTACAGTAGAGCCGATAAGTCATGGTGCGGCGAAAGCACCTACTAGCGCCGATGCGCCACCATACTGCAATCGCCAGAAATGTGCGACACGTACGACCCTGCGCCCTATTTCTCTCCTTTTCACCGGGTCGCCCTCGTCCGGTATCTATCGCTACTTATTTGCCATCGTCTTGAATATGTGTTGAAACAGTCTTCTCATCCAGGGATGATTCAGATGGATTCATGGTTATAGCCTACAGTACAATAGGGGTACTTGTCGGTAAATAGCTAGACTATGTACAGCAGCTGCACCAACCGGTTCGATTCCTCCGCGTGAACGAATCCAACCGCCCCCCCGTGGCTGAGGACTTTTCGTCCGAAACAGGTATGTCGATCATTTCAAGCCTTCGAATCAACATACGTTCGGCACAAGATATCGATTCTTGGATCTCCAATATCCGTCCTTCATCTTCCATGTCGGAATACACCCAAGCAACTAAAGAGACGGCAATACCATTCGATCTTTGAATATATACCATGTACACACACCAGATTGTCTTGGAATTATGGTACTACCACATTCCCCCTCCCATCATTTTTTGCCAACGGAATAACCAGGGGTGAGATTCGGCGTAACATCCATCACGCCAACACCATCTCGAACACCAGACAGAGCCAAAACCCAACACACCAGAGGAAATCGAATAGCAGGAAACGCGTCATGACACCGACACCAAAAGCCCGTGCACCACCACGTCCTGTGTTTGGGTGCGGCAACTTCGTCAGAGACGGAAAGAGAACGAAGGTTGACTCAAGACATATATTACATACCTATAGAGGAGTTAGGGACACGAGTGAGGCAAGAAGAACCTCGCTCGCCGTGCCCATCACACCCAGATCATTCGCGCCGTATCCCCCCCCCGGAAGCCCTGAACACCAGCATTACGCTGCCGAGCACCACCAAACAGAATTCGAGGCACATAATTGACATCCCAAAGGCCTCACTCGCGTCGCCTCCAGGGTTTTCCCGTGTTCCTCCATGCCTTCCAAAGTGCTGTAAGCCAATGCTTCGGAAACACAGCTGCATATTACAAACGGCCCAAATAAAACCATGACTCTCTCGGATCGGCGGTCATGTCGCCGTGCTGCCGACACCGGCCCCCCGCCGCGTCACTTGTGGTGCAGGAGAGCGAAGTCCGTGCCCAGAGCACCGGACACGCGGTAGTCCTCGGGGGTCCCGCGGAACGCGTCGTTGCCTTTCATCACGATGCGCCCATCCTCGTCGTACACAGGGCGTGCGGTCTCTCCCAGAATTCCGGTCAACCCTTCATGCTCGAGGGACAGCCCGACAAGGCCGACGTCCATCTCCCACACGTCGAGGTCGGGGAGGACACGGCCATCCCAGTCGACCCCACCACCGACCTGGTGCCCGATGCCGACGTTGAGCCGCACGACGACCTCCGGTGTAATGATCTGGAATATGGCTTGGGAGGACTGAACATCCGCCAGGCCCTTCTCGGCGATGTCCTTGGTGCACCTGGTGGTTATGTAGAACAAGGGGGAATGTGTTGAACCGTGGTGTGTGCGTGACATCGAGCGAAGCAATCACCAGCATGAGCAAGTTGAGGGCCGAAAGCCCCACACGAAGCAAGCTACAGTTCAACGACTACCCACCGCGCTCGCCTCTCTCAGGTCAAACTTGACCAAAGAATGGTCATGAATAATCCGTTCAAGGGGGGGTGATACCGGAGAGAGGAGAGAGAGTTTGTCGGCGGGGACAGCACGGGACATTAAGCTGGCAAACAAATCAGTTTCTACGTATCTCCTCGGCACAACCACGACATGCTTCGTCTGGGACAGTTTGCACAAAAGCAATTGGGAAAATCACCAGTCGTGGGCCGCCATGTGCTTGAAGCTCAAGATCCAATCCTCAAAGGTCTGGTCAGTTGCCCTGCGCGTCGCCTGCGCCATCATGTCGGCGTATTGGCGGGCCCATATCTTGTCCCCTCCGAACTGCCAGCACTCCACCGGAAGGTTGGCCGCGGAAACTTCGATCCCATCGCCAGGTAGGATCTCGCCCCTGAATCAAACCTGGAATATTCGTGTGCAAGCGGATTGGGGCGCTGGCGATTCTGAGTCGA